GTAAAATTTCATCGTTATTTAGTGTGTTGGACAGACAGAAATCTGTCAGGTAACACCAGATGCAGAGAAGGGAAAGGCATCTGCTGATGTGAGCCCCTCCACAGGCCAAGCTCCTCAAGGTCCCACAGCAGGGCTGGGCCACACCCTGGCGGTCAGGTGCTGGCAGGAGACGTGTCCTCCTCAGCCACATGGCCGGTTCCACTGCAGCAGCTGAAGCTCAGCTACCGAAGCTCTCCTGTCGATGGGCAGTGGGGTCCCCCCAGGAGCCCAGCGGAGGGCGACGAGACGACACTTTAAGGGCGCAAATGGAGTCCACCGCCCCTGGGAGTTTATGCCAGGCTAGGCTTGCAACTTGCAGTTGGCCTGAAGTCCAAATGAGGCTGCTTACGTGACCAGAGCACATGCACAGAGGCTGACACTGAGTCAACTCAACACGTGCTGATGCAGGACAGCTGCCAAGACGCGCCGTTCGGAGGGAAAGGCAGAGGGCAGGTGGGCAGCGGGCCGGGCTGCGAACCACAGACAGAGACGCGCACGTGCTCACACACCAGGATGCTCGGCTACAAACAGGGGTGGGAAGCAGACTGACGTTTCACTCCATCTGTTTTTCTGTCTTTGGAGTTTTCTACATGTGACTGTAATGCTTAGTGAAGAAATAAATGAGATATGATTCCCTCCATATTTCATATAAAGGTAGAATAGGTAAGGTCAGAGGGATAGAATACAGGTTGGTCACTGCCAGGAGCTGGGAGAGATGAGGGTTTCAGAAGCAACTGAGCTGTGGGTGTGGGTTTCCTCTGCTGGTGATGAATAAATGCTTTGGAACTAGACAGGGGTGGTGTTTGCGCAACATGGTGAAAGTGCTAAATGCCACTGACTGCTTTTTAAATTAATTAAAGAGCTCAATTTTATGTTATAGGAAGTTCTTCTTGATTTAAGAAAAAAGTAAATAAATAGTAAATAATAGTAAATAAATAAAGCAGGCTTTCACCTGTCTGTGCTTGGGAGGCAGCTGGGCAATGCTGGTTAGAAGAGTGGGAAGGGGGGCTTCTCTAGTGGTCCAGTGGTTAAGAATTTGTCTTGCAATGCAGGGCACGAGGGTTCAATCCCTGGTGGGGGAACTAAGATGCCACATGCCACAGAACAACTAAGCCCTGGCACTACAACTACTAAAGCCTGTGCACTCTGTGGCCCACAAGCCACAACTAGACAGTCCACGCATGGCCAAAGACCCCGCACGACGCAACAAAGATTCCTCACGCTGTAACTGAGGCCTGATGCAGCCAAATAAATAAATAAAATATACTTAAAAGAAGAAAGAAAACAAATTCCTTTTTTTAAAAGTATGTGAGAATAGCACATATTAAAAATAATAATAAAGAGGAATGGGCCGGGAGGCCCAACTGTGGGGCTCAGACCTCAGCTGTACCCAGTAGGCCCTGTGAGACCTGGGATCAGTCATCTGACCTCTCTGAGCCTCAGTTTCCAGGCTGGTGAAATGGGCTTCCTAAGGTCACATGAATAAAGTAAATAGGCCCCGAGGGACTCTGCTCCTGCTGTCTGCCCTGCTGAGCATGCCCTTTCCCAGGGCAGACTCGAGGGTCACCCCCTTGCCTCCTTCAAGCCTAGCTCCAAAGCCACCTTCTCGATGGGATTTCCCCTGATCACCGGCTGGAAAACCAGAAACCTCCGTGGCTTGACTCCCTGCCCTGAGGCTCCATCCTCTCCACTTCCTGTTTCTCTCCCTCATACCTGCTTATTTATTTTGTTCATCTCCTGCCTCCCTCTCCTGCACCACCTGCTCTGGAGAAGTAGGGGTTTCTGTCTGCCCCATTCATTATGTACCTCAAGGCAGGCGCTCAATAAATACGGGATGAGTGAATGGATAGCGTTCCTAATAGTTCTGCTATGATCTGGTGTGTAAATTTGCCTTCCTCCAAAAATAAAACTGCTGTTTGTTGTTCAATGAGCTTGAAATTAAAAATTCTAAACAAATACTGTATTTCACATATATGTGAAATCTAAAAAAACCCAACACACACAAACAGACACAAAAAACATAAACAGAGGTATAGATACAGAGAACAAACAGGTGGTTGCCTGAGGGGAAGGGAGGTAGGGGAGAAAAGAAATAGCTGAAGGAGGGTAACAGGTACAAAGTTTCAGTTGCAAAATAAACCAGTCATGGATATGAAATGTACAGTGTGAGGAATATAGTCAATAACAATGTAATATCTTCATTTAGTGACATACTATAACTAGACTGACTTGTGACAGTTAGAAATGTACAGAAATACTGAATCATTACATTGCATGATAGAAACTAACATACTGTTGTAGGTCAATTATACTTCAAAAACAAACTCATAGAAAAAGAGATCAGATTTGTGGCTACCATCAGGGAAGGTGTGTGCTTCTTTGGGCTTCCCTGGTGGGGTTCAGATGGTGAATGAATGAATGAATGCATGAATCTACCTGTAATGCGGAAGACCTGGGTTTGATCCCTGGGTTGGATCCCTGGGTTGGGAAGATCCCCTGGATGAGGGAACAGCTACCTACTCCAGTATTCTGGCCTGGAGGACTCCATGGACAAGAGAACCCTGGCAGGCTACGGTCCATGGGGTCGCAAACAGTCAGACATGACTGAGCGACTTTCACTTCACTTCAGTGGTAGGTGGAATGGGAGAGGGGGAATGGGACACGAAAGCAGTGAAAGGCATAAACTTCCTAAGGATATAATGTACAACATGATAAATATAATTAACATTGCTATATGTTGCATATGAAAGTTAAGAGAGGAAATCCAGAGTTCTCATCGCAAGGAAAAAGTAAATTTTTGAAATGAGATGAGATGATGGATGTTCACTAACTTTATTGTCATCATCACTTTATGCTGCATATAAATCAAATCATTACATAAATCAAATCATTATGCTGAGGCTCTCCTGGGGGCTCAGTGGTAAAGAATCCTCCTTCCAACGCAGGGAACAAGGGTTTGATCCCTGGTCTGGGAGGATCCTGTGTGCCACAAGACAACTGACCTTGTGCATCACAACTGCTGAGCCCACGCTCTAGAGCCTATGCACCTCAACAAGAGTCACCCCAGCTCGCCAGCAACTAGAGAGAAAGCCCAAAAGCAGCAACGAAGACCCAGCACTGCTAAAAATAAATAAATACATTTGCTTAAAAATTAAAAACCTTTTAAAAAACAAAAACTTAGACATCTTTTAGAAAAACTATTATGCTGTGCATTTTATACAATATCGTGTGCCAATTATCTCAATAAAACTGGGAGAAAAATACAACAGTTTAAACTAAAAAAAAACAAAAACAAAAACAAAACCCACAGTATTTCCAGAGAAAAAGTATTATTCCCAAGGAGAGGGATTTGCAAAGGAGAAGAGATGGTTCACAGTGAAAGGGTGTTCACAGTGAGACGGTGCTACATGCTCTAAAACATAAACATCGAGTAAACAGCCACCCTGACCTCTGACTGCCCACGGTGGTGTGAGCGCTGTTCCTGCGAGGCTCTCATGAGAAGCAAGAACACAGTGCCCGGCCTCGGACCCGTCCCCCCAAGCACCTCGGGACAGAATCACTCATTGACGCAGGATGGGGTAGGTGGACAGCAGCAAGCCAGTCACCCTGCCTATGCAGGGCCTTCCCTGTCCTCCACCAACAGCCTTCACACAGGGAAAAGGTGACCTCAATTACACACAGTTCAAAAATGAAAAACTAAAATAAAATATTGATACCATGCATCAAATAAAATGAGAAACTGGTGTACAGGTCAGAGAACTCTACTCCATGCTGTGTGGCAGTCTAAATGGGAAGGCAATCCAAGGAAGAGGTTTATTTATAGCTGATTCTCTTTGCTGAACAGCAGAAACTAACAGAACATTGTAAAGCACCTATACTCCAATCAAAAGTAATTTAAAAAAATAAATAAAACTCAGGCTCTTCTAACAACAGGCTGTCTTTCTAGTTAGCTCTTCTGTGAGACGGCTACATCATTACTCAACAGGGTGGTATCTCTGCTTTTCTGCTGCCTCCAAACTCCGCGCGGAGGAAAAATAAAAAAAGCTGAAGCCAGCAATCTCCAAGAGTTTGTGGCTTTAAAAAGCGAATAAAACAAAACCTACAAGAGGGAGTACAACCATCAAGGAGCATCTTCTGTTCTCTTAGGAGCCACGACTGTGGGTATAACCTGGCTGCCAGCTAGGAGTCAGGGTGGGGGTGCTGAGTTGGAAGGCACCTAATGCATGGGTCTCCAATTTCCTAGAATGTCAGGTCCGGGGCTGGCTTGTGAAAAATGCCAATTGCTGGGCCCCACGCCAGAGTTTCTGATGCAGTAGGTCTGGGGTGGGGCCTAATAATTTGCATTTTTAACTAGTTCCCAGGCAAAAGGACGCTGCAGGTTCAGACTACACTTTGAGGACAACTGCTCTAGAACAAAGCCTTCCAGGTCAGAGTTTCACCTCCCTCCACTGAACACAGGACGTGCAGGCAGACACACGTGCATTCAGGGAGCCGCAGAGAGCCGGGTCCAACCACTAGCCCTCCAATAGCCAGGCTCCCCTGGCACAGCCAACAGCTGACGGAACAAGCCCTCAGAGGTACACGGACCTTCTAAGAAGCCCATTCGGGTCCCGCCTGAGCCAGGCACTGCGACAGGTTCTAAGTCACTCCTGAAGCCCTTGAAATCCAAAGTTACAGATTTCCCTTTCTGGGGGGAGCAGTCACGAGCAATCCCGCCCTTTGCACATGGGTAACCACCGGCGGCAAGATCCGCTTTCTGCCTAGTGATGATCTCAAGTCTCTTTTCAAGTTACAGAAGCAGCAGCTGAAAGAGGAAATTAAAAAAAAAAAAAAAGCCCACTCAAGAAGAGTGACAGCATCCCTGGTGGGGGACGGGGGAGGGGGGACGCTTCCCCCTAATGCCCAAATGCAGGGACCCCATCACCCGCTGTGGGCCACCACGCCAGCCTCTCAACACTCACCAAAGTAATCGGCCTTGGGGTGGGCATCCATCTCCCGCTCCAGACGCTGGGTGAGGGCTTCTAACTTTAATTCGGCGGCTGTGGGTCCAAGCTCAGGGCCCGGGATGAGCGTCTGGCAGGGTAGCCTCACTCTGGGAGAACTCGGCGTCTCTGGGAGCACAGGCCCCAGGCTGCCATCAGAGGCCCAGCCGGAGGCACCTTCTTTACAAGATAACTCAGGCAGGGTGGACATCACTGGATGGACAAGGCTGTTGGGGCTGAGCTTGGGACCAACGCCAGAATCTGTACAGCCAGGCTTGGGACCCAGCCCAGGGACGGCACCCGCCTGCATATGGTCCATGCTGGCTGGCGAGGATGAAGGGGCAGAGCTAGAAAGGTAAGATTTGGGCCCATCTTGGAACCAGGGTTGAGGGTCCGCAGTGGGTTTGGGCATCGTGCCTGAAACCTCACTCCCTACCCCCGAGTTTGTTCTGGGAAGAGACCCTTGACTGGGCCGGTTCAGGGCCAGGGGCGCTGAGAAAGAAGGGGTCCTGGGCTGAGCAGACCTCGGGAGGGCCCCATTCTCTGGGCCCGGGGAAGGGAGGCCAGGGCTCACTCGCTGGGAGGAGGCGGTGGTCCAGACGCCCGCTGGCTTCTCGCTGTTGCCTCCTCCAAGCCCACCGTCCTGGCCACTCTGCAAAGACCTGCCGGAGCCTGCGGAGAGCTGCTGGTGGTACAGGTGAGGCTCCCTGGAGGGCTTAGACAGCAGTGGGTCGCTCCCTGGGGTCCCAGACCACCCACTTCCTACACCCAGCCTGATGCCAGGGGACACTCCTGGGTCGTCGGCCCACCTGGGGCCTGCCAAGGACAGGTTGTCGTAATAGTCTCCATGGGTGAGGCAGGAGGGATCCTCACAGGGGCCCGGCTGATGGAAAGCAGACATCTCAGAACTCGCCATGCTCTCCTTGGACCCACAGTCTTGGCTGCCTTGCCTCGAGCCCTGGACGTACAGCTTGGCCCTCTGCTCCTGGGGTGGGTACGAGGGCTGCCCAGGCGCCACGGTGGTGGTCGTCCCAGGGGTCACGGTCGAGGCAGCGAGAGGGGGCTTGGCAGCACCGTCCGCGGCCAGCCTGCTGCCCCCACCAGCTTCCCGGTGGGCGGGTGGGCCCAGGCGTCCCCCGCCGTTAACGGGACCCCGGCTCCCCCTGGGCAGGGTTTCCTCCTGCAGGAGCTGCTGCTGCTGGAGGTGGATTTTGGCCATCTTGGTAGCAAACACCCTGCGGGTTTCCTCAAACTCCGGGTTGTTGCCTGCACCCTTGTCCACTCGGAAGAGCCCATCTTTGGAGGCCTCGTACATGTTCAGGTCCTCAATGAACTTACTGGCCTCCAGGCCCAGGTCGTCGTACTTATCCATGTTGCTGACCCGGCCTAGCCTAGTTGAGTACTTGGAGGTGGGGCGGCGGGGTTCCTGGCAGAGGGCGGACACTCAGGTCCAGCCCAGGACAGGTACAGCCTTCCACCTGCCCACCATGAGAGTCATGACCCCGGGCCTTAGAGTCCAGAGGATGCTGAGGCCTCAAAGTCACTTGGGCCCAAGTTGCTTCCAATTCCCCTTCCCTTCGGAGGTGTCCGCGTGGGGGCGGCTGGCGGCTCTTGGCTGTCCGAGCTGTCTGTGAGTTCTTTTCTCCGTTTCAAATCATAAAACGGAAAAGAAATACGGAAGAAAAAAAAAATCACATCCTCCTTAAGCAACCAAACTCAAAGACACCCACAAGAAGGCAGCAGCCGCCGGACAGGAGGGAAAGTTGCTCAGAGAGCCGAGCGCAGAGGGCCCCGGACCGGCCGGGCCGGAGAGAAGGCGCGGCGGCGGGAGGCGCGAGCACGTACCGGGCGCTCGGTCCTCCGCGGCTTCCCCTGGTGGCGCGGAGCTGCGATCGTGGCCGGCGCGGGGACGGATCGGGGATCGGGATCCGGGGCACACGGGCCGGCCGGGCCCCGGCGGGAAGTTCACGGCAGCCGGGCGGGCGGTCTATTGTCCGATGGCGGCGGTGGCTGGGCGCGCGCGAGCTGGAGGGCGGCGGGACGCGGAAGTGAGTGCGCCGGACGCCGTCCCCGCCGCTCGGTCGCCGGCCGGGCACGTCGCGGGCCTGCGAGGAGGCGGAGGCGGAGGCGGCAGCCGAGGGGCGGGGGCGGGGGAGAGGGGCGGGGTCGGCGCGCGCGGCTGCGGGCGCCCAGGGGCAGGCCAGAGCCCGACGCGGCTGGGGAACCTGGAGGTGTGTCTGGCGCGCCTCTTCCAGCTCTCGAGCGCCGGACCGCCCCCGAAGTGCGACCGGGCTCCAGTCATTGGGCAGAGCGGGGCGGAGGCCACTCCGCGGGGATCGCTGTCAGGCGACCTGGACGGCTTGCGTGGACCGGAGACGTGCAGCTTGAACTTTGCGGGAGTCCCAAGGTCGCGCGCTCCTCGCCCCACTGTGCCTCAGTTTCCCGAGTGGAAAGTCAACCCCTCGTGCCGGCTTGGCCCCGGCCGTGCCCTCGCTCCTACACAAGGTGCAGGATTGACGACCCACGGAGTCACCTGTGGCTGGCCCAAGTCCTCTTGGACAGGTAGGGAGACTGAGGCACCGAGGGAGAAGTGTCCAAGATGCCATCATGACTAGCAAAGCGTGGATGGGTGCCCAGGTCCTCTGAAAGGGAGTTAAAAGGCACGTTGTTGCCCAGAGCGAGCGTCCTGAGTCCCTCTGTTCGGCCATAAAATCTCGTGCCCTGCTGACTCATTGTTCAAGGGAGGATTTCTGACACTCGAAAGAAGATCCACGCAAGTCGGCGCCAGGCCTGACTCCAAGGCAGGACTCCGGGGCACCCTAGCAAGGCCCACCACTCCCTGCACCACCTCCGAGGTGACCCTGGAGAGGTTTCATTTCCCAGGGAGCAGACATCGTGATCCTAAAGCCGATACCAGACCGGTCACTTCCCTGGAAACCCTCAGTGCTTACCAGGGACTTGAATTGAAACCGACCCCACAGCAGCCTTCCTGCCCTGGCAGGGTCTGCTCCCCAGGGCAGGTTTGATTGGGGAGTCTTCCCTGCCACTAGTTGCAGGAGATTCCTGGTGTCTGCCCAGAGCTGGCCTCTGAACTTCAAGATGGCTCATCCTTACCATCTCTGCCAAAATAACACTCTCTAGAACCCTTCTTTTTCAGCACCCTCTTTATTTCCTCATCAGTTCTGATCACTATTTATATTTATCTGTTTACATGTGGTTTTTTTGGTGGTTGGTTGGTTTTCCACCCCATTAGACCATATCTGTATGCCCAATATCTATATGTCACAGTTCTTAATGGTTGAATAAGTGAATTAGCGAATCTATTTGTCAGCGTTGTGACAAGGAACCAAATAATGCAATACACATGAGAGTGATTTGTACTCTGTAAATCCAAAATGTGGTTCATTTTGTGGCAGGTAGACAACCTCAGACATGCAGATGACACCATGCTAGGGGTAGAAACGGGAGAGGAACTAAAGAGCCTCTTAATGAAGGTGAAAGAGGGGAGTGAAAAAGCTAGCTTAAAATTCAACATTCAAAAACAAAGATCATGGCATCCAGTCCCATTACTTCATGGCAAATAGATGGGAAAACAATGGAAACAGTGGGAGATTTTATTTTCTTGGGCTCCAAAATCACTGCAGATGGTGACAGCAGCCATGAAATTAAAAGATGTCTGCTCCTTGGAAGAAAAGCTATGACAAACCTAGACAGTGTATTACAAAGCAGACATCACTTTGATGACAAAGGTTCATATAGTCGAAGGGATGGTTTTTCCAGTAGTCATGGACAGGTGTGAGAGTTGGACGACAAAGAAGGCTAAGCGCCAAAGAATTGATGCCTTTGAATTGTGACGTTGGAGAAGACTCTTCAGAGTCCCTTGGACAGCAAGGAGATCAAACCAGTCAATCCTGAAGGAAATCAGCCCTGGATATTCACTGGAAGGACTGATGCTGAAGCTGAAGCTGTAATGTTTTAGCCACCTGATGTGAAGCGCCAACTCGTTGGAAAAGATGCTGGGAAAGATTGCGGACAGGAGGAGAAGGGGGCGACAGAGGATGAGATGGTTGGATGGCATCATTGACTCAATGGACATGAATTTGAGCAAACTCCGGGAGATGGTGGCGGACAGGGAAGCCTGGCATGTTGCAGTCCGTGGGGTCGCAAAGAGTTGGACACGACTGAGCGACTGAACTGAACTGATTGGAGGTACAGAGAATTAGCTGAGAGTGACCCAGGGATGCAGCTGCAGGGAACTGGCTGATTAGGGCAGTGAAAGCGTGAATGGGCTGAGGAAGAATTCACGATGGAAGCATGAAGCCTCCCCCTGTGCTCCCCACTACCACCTCCACTCCCACCCGAGATCCTGGCCCTGAACTGCAAGGAGGCCAGCCAGCACTAGAGACCTCCAGCTGAGGTTCCGCTGCACAGATGTGGGTGTGGAGTTGGGTCTAACCAGGGCTGCCTTCTGCCAAGTGAGCGCAATGTAACTAGAGGGACAAGAGAGTCACTGTCTCTTCTGCCCAGAACTGCTCCACAGATATGCCTCTGTCTCCCTCCTTTATAGCTCTCAGGTCTCCACTCAACGGTCACTTCCCTGGGAAGTCTGCATGCCCCCTCTCTATCCCCAACCCCACCTGCCCCCACAGTGACCAGCTGTCTCCTCACCAGAATGCAAACATCATGAGGCCCCAGATCTCTGCCCATCTTGTTCATCACAATAGCCCAGGAAACCAAAACAGTGCCTGGTGTGTGGTAGGGCCCCCAAATGCTTGATAAATGAATGCACGGGTCACATCAGAAGAGGAAGTACAGGTGTTACCATCCACAGAGAAAAAGAATTAATTGGACTTCGGAACTCCCTGGTGGTCCAGTGGTTAAGAATCCGCCTGCCAATGCAGGGGACGCGGGTTTGATCCCCGGTCCAGGAAGACCCCATATACCACGGGACAACTAAGTCCGTGCTCCACCACCACTGAAGCCCGCATGCCTGCAGCCTGTGCTCCACAACAAGGGAAGCGACCACAGTGAGAAGCTCGTGCCCTGCAACTAGAGAGTAGCCCCCGCTCACCGCAACTAGAGTAAAGCCCGCGTGCAGCAACGGAGATCCAGCACAGCCAAAAACAAATCAATAAAACTATTAAAATAAATTAATAGATATGCTATAAAGACATGTCCATATTAATTAAATCAACAACAACAACAAAATAATTCACTGGACTTAACAGTGACCCAGATTCAGAGAAGCAATTCAGAGAAGAATACAGAGGAGACGGTATTCTTCCTCTTATAATTCTGTGTGCCACTACAAACCTTCTGCAGATCTTGTTTGCTCACCTTGTACCAAATATTTGATCTGCCTCGGAGATCATACATCTTGCCAGGCAAGAGTATGACTACATAGAATTGTACGTGTGTGTGTCTGAACGTATTCGGGAGTGTACTGGACTGAAGAATAGCTGTTTGCATGCATACATATATGTTTTTTATATAAATGTGTATAAAGGATCATTGACTAAACAGCATTTGAAACACCCTTGTCCAACGGACTGGAGGCAGTAAACGGTGCTCAGACAGCCAATGAATTACCGGGGGGCCCAGGAGGCAAAGGGCCCCCGTCCTTGGACGGAGCCCTGCTTATTTTGCAGTTAACTGAAAGGGCCTTTCTGTCCCTTTTGCTGGGCCACAGGGAATGTCCCAGCACACAAAGCGGTAAGTGTCCTAAAGCTGGAGGGCTACTTCAGGGAGAGCGCTGAAAAGAATCTTTGTATTTCAGCCAGGCGGATGGATGAAGAACTAAGAACCAGGTTCCTCTGGGCTCTTTCCATCCCACGGATGCCTCAAGCAGGCCAGGAAAGCCTGGCCCTTCCAAAATGTTTCCTGAACCTTAGGCTTTCTCTCTGGTCCCAAGTCTCACTGTGGAACTGTCCCATGAATGGAGAGAAGCAGCTTCGATGAAGGCCCTTTCCTGGCACTTCTAACGAGCCTGTGTCTCATGACTGTCTGTCCTGGAAAGCTGCCCAGGCCAGACCCACCTATGAGGACCACGACCTTGCCCTATGTGTGCTAACGTCGCCTGCGCTTGACCAGTCTCAGCCCAACACCCCGGGCCTTCTGCTGCACAGGAAGACCCAGTTAGGCATGTGCCTGGCCACAGGGCCCCACGTGGCTCCCCGCAAGGATCCCACACACCCTCGGGGGAGGGAGGCTGCCCCTTGGCCCTGGCCCAACCCCTCCCGGGCCATCTGCTCAGAGTGCAGCGAAATATGTTTAGCAGAACACAGTGAACTGGAGTGCTGATTTTTGAATCAGCACCAATTTTCTGCTTACTCCTTTTTTTGTGTGGTTGTTAAATAATACAAGTATACGGCT